TCCGATCATTGTCCGCCGGAGCCCGAGAATAGCAAAACAAAGACCAATGTTTAACTCCCGAGATCCCTGCATGTCCGGTGTATACAATGGCATCAGGCGAGAGATATCAACATAACTGAGTACGAATCTAGTCAAGGAAGGAGTTAAGGATATAATTCATATTGAGGGACAAATGAGATGCGGAGAGAATTATCGAAAAGGGATTATCGTGTGGGTGTATTGTATTGATGTAATATTGAAAAGAAAGAAAGGTCGGAGCGAATGGATGATGTCCTATTTATCACAAGCATTTACTGATCTCCCATCTTGAAGGAGGTTTCACGCTATCACGTTCTGTTCTTTTCAGAACGAATTCGTGAATTTTCTTGCACTTTGCTCGAGCTTTAGATGATGAAAATTGTCTTCTTTCGATGATGAAAATTTCGATGACGCGATAATCGATGCCATTGGTTAGCGAGCCTTGTGTGTTATATATAATTCTTTTTCTTTTAGACTTTACTACACTAGTCGAAAATTTTTGAATGCTCGAAAAATGAACGGGAAAAAGAATAAATCATTTCGTGGCGTTTTGTGAGAATGGAGCACAGTACTAAGTAACGCGATGCTGTATATAATTTTATACAATTTAAGAGAGTTATTCAGCGTCGGATTTTAGAACGTCGATTAATCGCGTGCCATGTGTAAGATCAGGGGCGGATTGGCCATCAGCCTTCTGAAAGATATCGAGAGATACTTTCTGTTTATTATCTACTAGAAATTATTTTACAGAAAAATTGTAGAAATCGTAAATTTAATTTGAACAATGTAAAATTAATATTTGTCATAATAAACGGAGTAAATTTATTATAAACATGTTTACTTTTGTTATTATAACAAATTTTCGATAAAATTGACTTGCGATTTACTACGACTTTTATATTGCTAGATATTGTGCAGATATCTGCAAATGATTAATTATTTCAAAATTATCCATAGGTAGTTTTTTTCCGCTTACTCAATCCGCCCCTATATGTAAGATTCATTTTCCATAATTGACCTTGACATGGACGCTCAAGTCAGAGAAATAACTTGAGCATTTTTTTACATGTAGTGTGATATGGATTATATTCTACTTTCTTCTTCGTTTACATGTAGGCATAAGAAATTGCTGGACGGAGCATTTAATTAATAAACAAGAATATTAACTACTTCATGTTAAATATTCAGTATATATATTTGCATATATGTATAATTGTATATGTATATATACATATATATATCATATAGTAATATTGTATTTATATATAGGTATAAATTCTTTTATTTTGTTAT